AGCGCGTAATGATAACAATTGTATCATATCGCGCGAAACGCAAGAGCCTAAAATCGTTTTATTAAAGATACAGTGGCGAATGCCTCATATAGTGTTAAACGATATTAATAAATTAAGGTTATTGCGCACGTTGGATAGCGGACGATATCTGAGCGTCGCTTTTCGCTCGTGGGATCTCTACGAGTTTCCGCTTCTACAGAGCACGACTAAACATTCGTGGGCTGTCAAAGCGGCGACGCAACTCGAAAAACCGCGATACGTTATCTTCGCGCTACAGTCCGGAAAGAAGAACGTTCTATCCGAGGAGCCTTCCCTATTCGACGATTGCAAACTAACTAATGTCAAACTGTATCTTAATTCCGATTTTTATCCTTACGATGATATGAATTTAGATTTTGATAAGCGCAAAGTCGCAGTGCTATACGATATGTACTCGAAATTTCGAAGAACGTATTACGGATGCGACAATGACGAAGCGCTCTTAAATCTGAATAAATTTTTAGTTTACGGCCCGCTCGTAGTCATCGACTGTTCACGACAAAACGAATCGATTAAAAGCGCCACCGTGGACGTTCGCATAGAGTTTGATTGCAAGGAGAACATTCCCTCTAATACCACAGCTTTACTGTCTTATCATTCACGATCGAGTGGTGGAGTACAATCCGCTCACCAACGTTGTGCGCAGAATTGTATAAGCGCGATGATATTCAAAATATGAAGAGAGAATAATAGAAGCGCACACTTCGAGTACCGCTAATAACGACGATGGACGCACCGATCTTCGTCGATCTTCAAGGTTTCGTAGTTAACGAGAAATTCGTCGCGAAAAAAATAGCCGTGTTAAGAAATGGCGTGGAATTGACGCATCACATCTTTCGCCCACCGATGTCTTGGGATCTGCTAACGAGAGCGGAAAAATCGCGAGCGTGTTGGTTGACATCTAATCATCATCAATTAAAGTGGAATGACGGACACGTGAATTACGGATCGATGAAAAGACTCATTCGGGACGCCGTATGCCGAGAATTTAGCCCCGATAAGAATCTACGTCAAAGGTCACGAGAAGAAAAAGTGGCTGATCGAAATCTTAGGAAATGTTGCTATTGACGCTGATTACGAGGATATCGCTATTTACTATTGACGCTGATTACGAGAATATCGAACGTTTGGAAACTCTAAACGCTTCGCGGGCCTTTCGCTGCGGATATCACGCGAAGAATTGCGCGTTAGAGAACAGTCCGCACCCCCGCGGCCCCGGCCGCAAAGAACCCCATCCCCGAACCCGGAGGGAGCATCCCCGAGAGAATCCCGAGAACACCCCCACCGGGAACACAAGACAGGAAAAACCCCGCGGCCCGGGCCGCAAAGCATGGCGGGAGGGCAAGCGCCGAAGCGCCGTGCAATGCCCTCTCCTAACGGTGCCATGCCACCGGGCGTTTGAATTCCGGGTCGCCATCCCTTACCACCTACGAGCCAAGGCTCTAGCGGGGAAGTGGGCCCCGTCCCCTAAGGCTGCGGGAAGATTCCCACAACCAAGGAGGAACCCCCAGAAACCAGGGAAAAGCCCCCAGAGACTGGGGGGCAGGTGTGCCTCAAGATATGAGGCACTGTCCGCTCTTGGCACCCTCACCACGGCAAGGTGGCGGACAACGAGGAGGAAAAATGTTAAGCTTTCCCTGAAGGCCCCCCTCTGTTCGCCGGGGGCCACGAGCTCAAATACGGTGCCACCCTGTCTTGTGACAGGGCGCCCGTTTCCACCTCAATCTGTCTCCGGTTATTTATAATGGGGTGAGACATACCCCCACTAGGCGGACGCCTGTGGTGGCCGTCGGGCCGCCACCCAACGCGAGTCCCCCGTAGGGTCCCCTCCCCGGCGAAACAGGGGAAAGGAGGCAACCCCGGCTGGCTAGACCGGGAAGCCATACTCGCGCGGGCACGTACCCTCGGACCGTCAGGCCACGCTATTTAACAAGGATGTTTACCATGCTGAAACATCCCTGCACCGGCTACCTCCGAGTTTTTATACGAGGGGGAAGGTAGACCCCTGTTTGTAGGATGTGTGACTTAGGGCACCCAAGGCGCGAAGACTCGAGAGTGTGATTCCCTAAGCCATCCATCGTCCCTACCACGTGTCCCTGCCTCCGCGTTTTTATCCGAGGGGGAAGGCAGACCCCTGGGGGTCGGATGTGTTGCATCGGGACCAAGGTCCTTCAGCAACACATCCTCCTCATACCACCGGTGACCAACGAGTTTATACAGGGAGGTCGGCGCTGTCTTCTGTTTTGCATGTTTCCCTTTCGGGAACCACACAGCACAGAAGTCCTACCCGGATCCCCATATGCATGATGGGGATGACTAAGCCCTAGCCGCTTCCGATTTTACAGGGTGAAGCGGACCCCTGTTTGGTTGACGTGTGATTTTGAGACCGAAGTCTCTCCATCACACGCCCGCCCTGGGAATGTTTGCCATTCTGCAATACACTCCCAGCCCGATACCTCCGAGTTTTTATACGAGGGGGAAGGCATACCCCTGTTCGAGGATGTGTGGCTTAGGGCACCCAAGGCGCGAAAACTCGAGGGTGATTCCCCTTCCGCCATTTATCGTCCCTACACCGAGTCCCCGCCTCCGCGTTTTTATCCGAGGGGGAAAGCGGACTCCTGGGAGTCAGATGTAATTGCATCGGGACCGAGGTCCTTCCGCAATACATCCTCTTCTTGACACCGAAGCCAACGAGATAGGGTGGCCAGCCCAATGTACTGCTCTGAGTGTTTCCCTAAAGGAACCACCCAGCGCAGAACTCCTACCCGAGCCTCTCCTTGAGGGGTAACAGCTACCCTAAGCGGAGAAACGGCTGCTCCCGGAAGGCTCGCCCGGTCGAGGCCAGACTCCCTTCAAGACGCCGCTCCCCGTTAATACTCTCCTGAAGGGAGAGCATTCAGGCTATTGACCTTCAGATTCGGGACTTGAGCCAAGCTATGGGTCCCTCCTCCTCCAGTCAGCCGTCCCAGGGAGTTGATCGTCCTGGGTTTGTGCACTAGCACACGCGAGAACCTCTTTGGAGTCCCCGAACCCTCCCCCGGCCGTGCGAAGGCTTAAGGACATTCCTGCCCCCGGTCTACTAATCAGGCGTTCGCCCGGTTTTCAACCGTGACCCTGCACCCGATCTACTAGTCGGGCGTTTGCCCGGTTTTCGACCGTGACCCCCGCACCCGTAGGAAGAGCCCAGCAACCCCAACGAGGCCCTATCCCATCCCCAATCCCTAAAAACCCACCTAACCTAACCTAACCCCAATTCTTAAAACGCGTGGGTGTGCTCTTAGCACCCTTCCACTTCTCTAAAAAAAGCTTCAGGGTGAGCCCTCTCACCACGTCAAGGTGGCACACCAACGAGAGGATTTCCTCTAACCTAACCTGACATGACCTAACTTGACCTTATCTTCCTCTATCCCAAATTTGTGCGATAGAGACAAAAATAGACGTTTCGTCGAACATTTCTTATTAAGCCCGAATCACACTAGCGGCTCGCGGCTGCGATTGCCTCAGCCAATCAGAAAGCACCAATTGCAAGTATGATTGGAGCGTAGCAAATCACAATCACAAACGCAATCGCAGTCGCAGCCGCGAGTCGCTAGTGTGATTCGGGCTTTACGTCCGATATTTCTCGATCGATCGTTTCTCGCGTCCCTCTCGACCCGCGCGATGTCCACCGCGAAGAAGGCGATGACTGTTCTCATCCTAGCGATAACGCTCGTCGCCGCGACGACCGCGACGCCCGTCGACTTGGAAAAGAGGGAGGCGCTCCGCTTCCTGCGCGCGTACGGTTTTCTGAAGGACGACGGAGGATCGTTGTCGTCCGGCAACGCGACGTCTCTGCGTCACGCGCTGTCGCTGTTTCAAGAATATTATCAATTATCAGGAAATGGTGCGTTAAACCCTGATACGCATCGCCTTATGCGCAAACCGCGATGCGGTCTCGCGGACATTCCCGGTCACGCGTATAGCCCGATCGCGCGAAAATGGCCGAAAACGCGTCTTACGTGGAACTTTCAAGTGGCCAGCGAAGAACTCTTAAGAATGGCCGAAGCGGCGTTCGCGTTATGGACGGTGAATTCATCGTTAACGTTCGCGCGCGACCCGCTACATCCCGATATGCTGATATTGTATCGAACGGGCGCGCACATCTACGCGAATCGCCTGAGCGGCGACATTTGCCCGGCGGCCTTCGAGGGTCCGGATGGAGCCCTCGCTCACGCGTTCTTTCCCTCGGGAGCGGCCGACTTCGCGTCGGAGGGGCACATCGACGACGCGGAACCGTGGCACGTGTATCTGAACAAAAATCCTCCCAATACGTGTCATTTGCTACAAACGTTGACGCACGAGATCGGCCACACGCTAGGTCTACAGCACAGTATGCGCCACGACTCGGTAATGTTCCCGTATATACCCGACATCGAAAATCAATTTCCGGTTAAGCTGAGCATAGAGGACGTCCTCGCTATACAGAATCTGTACGGGTCTCACGACAATGGAAACTATCCAACGATTTCCACAACCACCATAGCACCCGCGACGACGACGAGCGTCGCGCCGACCGACCCCGCGCGCGCGGATTTCTGCGCGTTGCGGCGCATAGACGCGGCGTTGATAATGAATCGTCGCTTGTACATAGCTAATCGCCGCAACGTATGGTCGGTTGACATAATCGAGAGACGCTACGGTAGACCCATGAAGTTGACGGATTACGCGATGTTTCTTCCGGCGAATCTCACGCGCCTGTCCGTCGCGTATCGAAGACCCTCGGGCAATCTCGCGCTATTCGTTAACGATTCGATCTACGTCGCGGAATATCCCAGTTTTAAGCTAAAACCTGGTTGGCCGAGATCTCTCCATGATATCGGACTTCCCCGAGATGCTAAGATCAACGCCGCGATAAACACGCATACGGGACGAACCTACTCGATCTACGACAACGACAAAGTAGCGGAGATCGACGAATGTCGCATGATAGCCGTTAGACACGCTCCGTTGAAAGATATATTTCCAGGAATACCACCCGCGATAACGTCGGCCTACCGACACATCGACGGTAACCTATATTTTTTCGCAAAGCGCCAATTCTACGCGTTCAACGAATTCACGAATATCGTGACCTTGGCGGGTCCTTTCGATCTTCACATACTCGGTATCGAGTGTCCTACGGATGGACTGTTGCGACAATTGCGCGATCTTCTGATTCGCGCTTATCATCTCGGCGATGTAACCGAGAGCGACGAGATCGACGAAGAGGACGACTGATGAAGCGACTTCCGCCATCGCTCTAATGTAATTTTAAAAATAGAATATGATAAATAGGAACGAAAGACGCGCGCGGAAGGAGGAGCGATCTCTACGCGAGTATATAAAGATCGCCCAGCCATTCACGCTATTTGATCTGGGTCATAACGTCACAAACATATGGAATATTAAACAAAGAGGGTCCAAGAAGCCACTACCTATGTTCATTGTGGAACTAAAATAAAATAACAAACTTATATACAAAATAAAGACCTTACTGCACTGTCGAATAACATTTGAACCACCAAGACCAAAACGTGAAATACATCATCTTTCCGCTGACTGCACACGGAAGTATAGATCTGAAGACGTTAAATGCGTGCTCTGCGAGGGTAATCATCCAGCAAACTACAAAGGCTGTAGAGTCTACAAAGAGCTTCAAATGGTTAGGTTTTCTTCTACTAGGAAAAAAGTTCTCCCTTCCAAAGAACCTACAAATGAAATATCCACAGATAGTCACTAACACAAACCCAACAACGCTAAGCAAACCTACGTATGCCCAAGCCCCAAAAAACAATATGAATCAACTATCACAAGACCACACTAACTTATCTAATTTCAAAGAAATAAATGATACGTGTGAGATAAAAGTCATACTCAAACAAATCATGCAACAATTGGCTACAGTGACAAATCTTTTGTCAAACCTAATGATTAAGCTGTCAAATTCGACTCCTTAAAAATTGCAATATGGAACGCCAATGGGCTGTCACAACACACCCTTGAGGTAAAAACTTTTTTGGAAACACACCAAGTCGACATACTATTGATCTCAGAAACACACTTTACAAGGAAAAACTATTTTAGTATGCCCAAATATAAATTCTATCACACTATGCATCCGACAATACTGCGCATGGTGGAAGTGCAATATTAATAAGAAACAATATCAGATATTATGAAGAGGAGTCATATTGTGAGGAGGAGATTCAGGCAACGAATGTAGTCGTCTTGGATTGGGAGGATCCTATAGTAATCTCAGCAGTCTATATTCTTCCTAAACACAACGTAATTAAAGAAAAATACATGAAATTTTTCTCTTCACTGGGTCATAGGTTTTTTGCCGGTGGTGACTATAACTCAAAACATATTGGGGCTCAACAACTACAAATCCCAAAGGCCGACAACTGCTACTAGCCATCGAAGCATTACATCTCGGAGTTACCTCATCCGGAGAACTAACATACTGGCTCACCGATAGAAAGAGACTACCGGACTTGATCGACTTCTGTGTATTCAAAGGAATCTTTAGCGCACATATAGTATGTAAATCTTGCCTTGAGCTATCATCAGATCATTCACCCATTATTTTAACACTAAGCAGGAAAATCCAGCAAGTAACAAAAATCTGCAGGCTACATAACCACAAAACCAACTGGGACCAATTCCGACAGCTTGTCGAGTCTTCGCTAAATACCAACCTGCCTTTAAAAAGCAATAGTAATATTGAAGATACAGTCGAGCACTTTAACAACTGCATTCAAAAATCGGCTTGGGAAGCGACGCCAGAAATAGTCATTAAAAACTCATCCCGTTGCTCCCAAACAATTAGGGAAAAACTCGCGGAAAAACGCAGAGCAAAAAAAAATATGGCAAAAAACAAGATATCCTGGCGACAAAACTCGACTAAACTCTATTACAGCAGAACTTAAACGCCTACTAAGAGAAGATAGGAATGACAGTGTACAAGAATACCTACAAAATATGGATGCAACAGCAGCAACAGACTATTCACTTTGGAAGGCCACAAAAAAGCTAAAGCGACCCATCTCTCATCACCCCCCGATACGTAAACTTGATAATGTTTGGGCAAAAAGCGATAAAGACAAGGCAGAAGCTTTTGCTAATTACTTGGAAGGGGTGTTTGAACCAAACCCAGACCTTAGATCTCAAAAAAATCAAGAGATATGCGACTTGCTAGGCCAAGTACATCAATTAGACCCCCCTATTAAAAAATTCTCTAAAAACGAAGTTTATTCTATCATACAAAAACTGGATCATCGCAAGGCACCAGGCTATGATCTTATCGCTGCACTAACTCTCAAGAAGTTACCTGCTGCTGGCATCACCTTTCTTACGCAGCTGTTCAACGCCATATAATGATACTCAAATCATTATAATACATTATAATAATACTTAAATCAGGACGCTGAGGATGTTAAGTCCTATCGACCAATTAGTCTTTTGCCAATCCTCTCTAAGGTCATGGAAATACTGTTTCTCAAAAGATTAACGCCAGTGGTTCAAGAACTTAAACTAATACCGGATCATCAATTTGGCTTTAGGGCAAATCACAGCACAATCGAACAGATACATAGACTAGTTAAAAGAATACACTCAACCTTTGAACACAAACAATACTGTTCAACTGTTTTCCTGGATATTTCTCAGGCATTTGACCGCGTTTGGCACGAGGGACTCTTTTACAAGATTAAAAACTCGCTCCCAATCAATTATTACATTTTCATTAAGTCTTATCTAGAGAATAGACACTTTATGGTTACGTACGGACAAGAGATGACAAGTCTTCATAAGATACAGGCTGGAGTCCCACAGGGCAGCGTACTGGGTCCTCCATTGTATTTACTGCACACTGCAGACCTCTCAGTAATGGAAGGAGTGGTCACTGGTACGTTCGCCGATGATACGGCAGTCATGGCCACTGCTAGGTGCCCTAACATAGCCTCGCTTAAGCTCCAAAATTGCCTCAACAAAATATCAAGTTGGCTCAGGAACTGGCGCATCAAAGCAAATGAGGCTAAATCAGTGCAAGTAACTTTCACCACAAAACAAAATACATGCCCTCCAGTGAAATTAAATGGAACCATAATCCCCCAAGCAGAGGAAGCTAAATACCTAGGCCTTTACTTGGACCGACGTCTCACATGTAGGAAACATATATTTACGAAACGTAAAGCTATGGGTTTAAAGCTTCGCGAAATGTAGTGGCTCATGAACAGAAAGTCTCAGCTATCACTGGAAAACAAAATTCTTCTGTACAAATGCATCTTCAAACCAATCTGGGCCTACGGCCTTCAGCTGTGGGGAACATTTGCAAATTCAAATATAGAAATCCTCCAAAGATTTCAATCAAAAATCCTACGTATGATCGTTGATGCACCCTGATATGTCACAAATGAAAGACTACATCGGGAATTCAATATACCATTAGTGAGAAACGAAATTAAGGCCCGAACAGCAAATTATAAAGAACGCGTGCAAATGCATCCCAATCGCCTGGCTTGTGAACTAATGGACAAAGATTAAACTACTTTCCGAAGATTAAAAAGAAGAACTCCTCAGGATTTACTCAAATGAATACATATTAATATTAATTTAGATGCGGATGAGTCACTGGACCCATGCCGTGCATGACTGAATCAACACTTGCCTAACCAGCTGTCGAATGTCTTATAGACAGATTACAGTACTCACATACTAAAAAAAATTATATATACTAAAATATATTCATATATATTTTTGTACTTACACAGATAGAGATGTCCGAACGACCGAAGCGAGTCATCTCCAAACCGTCGCGATATGTAACGACGTCTTCGGATGATGCTCCTTCGAAACCAAAAAGGGTCGCAACAACAACCAGGAGGAGGTCCAAGAAGATATCCACGATATAAGGAGGACTCTCGAAGAGGAAGATTCTATTTATCTGGATAATGACAATTATAATAATAATAACAATTATTTTACACATTACACATCATCGCACACACACGTTCAACCAGAAACAAACATTCAATCACACATATCTGTTTAATCAAACACAAACATTCACTCACCCGAAATTGCTCAATTAGATGCGAACTTTCAATCACTCGATCAAAAAGATACGATCATTCAACCGCACATAAACGATCAAGCACATGCACATACTCAATCATACATAAACGTTCAACCATCATGCTCGTTGTCTCATAATACTCACGTATCACAAGCGTCACAATCACTCACACAAAATTATAACACACAACACGTAGAGAAGGTAAGCTATGCTGATAATGTTTTAATAGAGTCTAAGAACCATCGTGGAAATTCCGGAACACGCAGAGACATATCTTCTCAAAACTGGAACGTCGGCATTGGAGGATTGACGGCACATACACATGGTCATCATCAACATCATTCAACATCATCAGAAAAGTCGGACATTCGGTAAATATATACATATTTATCTGTTACCTGTTTTAAGAATTATCTGTTATAAATTAAAAATGATCATTAAAAATATATCGGTAATGAAAATAAATTTATTTGATATCATTGTAAAATGTACATATCTTTATAGAAGCTAATCTGTTCTGTAGAAGTTAATCTGTAAATGTTATTTAATGTTTACAGGAAACTACACGAACGCTTAGATGGCATAGAAGCGAAAATGAAGTAAGTATCACATCTATTAATATACAATATCTATTAATACCTGAAATTTTCATTCTACTGATTTGTCCTTATATTTTATTTTTAGACAGGTCAATTCCACTGTAGACAAAATTTTAAGGCGTGTCCAAGATCGCCATCGCGTACCACGGAAGCCGGCCATCTTCCCCATAGCGTCATTTCCGAACATGGATGCTTTTGAAGGAATCGACGAAGATGGATATTCCAACACCGTAAGTAAAAAGAGAAATTGTATTTATAATTTTTCATATTCTTACATACAACTACATTAATCTTTGATACGTAGGTAAATTATTTCCATTACATCGGTGGTTACAATTTGAGAGAAGCCGTAAACATCTTTTTAAAGGAAAGTTTGAAGGATACCATCGCGTCGTCTTTTACATGGTGGGGCCATCGTGGGGCGTGAAGGATATCGATCGCTATATGATACTCGTCTTATTATGGCAATTTATGGTACGAGGTCGATTATATTTTTTTACGCATAATTATTAATTTTATTGCGTATATCTTTAACGATAATGCAGCTTGCCTTTATTTTTTAA